TTAAGAGAGAACTGTTCACTGGACAAAAATAACGAATTTTGTAAAACTATAGAATTGGCAGAGGCCCGACATGAAACTGTTGTCTACTAACAAAACTGATACAACAGAAACTTTTGAATTAAAACCAAAGTGGTTGGAGGAATCTAATTTTACGCAACTCAAGCCAACAAATCGTTGCTACAATCGCGGCGTACAAGCGTGCCTGGGGCCGCTGTCTTACCGACTGCCCCATATTAATTTACAGTCAAAAATCTAGAGGAAATTCGGCTAACTTTTATTGCGCACATCACATGTTACTTGTACATATTCATTAGTTGCATGAGGTCACACATACCAGTAAGGTTACATCTCAGTGTAGCCAATTATTTATAAAAATTTAGCCACTTATTTTTAATGATCTGGAAAAAGTAAAAAATAATAGGCTTAAACGTCTTAGGATAAAACTCTTACCCTATAGATTTGATTTGAAATGCTTGCCTGGCAAATCAATGGTGATAGCTGACCTGCTTTCTATAAACTTCTCGTAAAAAGATATTGAGGATGGTGAATCAATGAGGGATGTGATACATACCGTGGGAGTTCGGATTGATTGCTCTGGTACCCATTTGAAAAATTTAAAAACTGAAACTGCGAATGATACAGTTTTAAGTGTAATTTTAACGCCTGTACCCCATCCTAAATTCTAATCACATAATCCCAGATCACAAATTTGGATTTCGCTCCTCCCATTCCACTATACAGCAATGTCATCGTGTGGTAGACGTAGTATCCTCTGCATTGGAGCGTGGTATGTACTGTACGGGAGTCTTTCTCGACGTCGAACAGGCGTTTGATAGAGTTTGGCACCCGGGACTGCTTTACAAACTCCGAAAATTCCTACCATCTACATACTTCCTCATTATCCGTTCCTACCTTACTGATAGATACTTTAAAGTAAATCACAACAATGTCTATACATCCCGCTTTTCCCAGTCTGCAGGTGTTCCTCAAGGTAGTATCCTAGGTCCCATCCTTACACAGTTTATACAGCTGACATCCCAACCCATCCCAACACTGTCATCACCACATATGCTGATGACACATGTATCCTTTCAGTTAATAACGACCCATCTATTGCATCCCAAACCCTTCAATCCCACATCATAAACCTTGAAGAATGGTGTCAGAACTGGAGAATTAAAATAAATTCCAATAAATCCCATCAAATTACCTTCACCCTTCGTCGTAAACCCATGACTTCCTGTCCTTCAGTATCCTTTAACAACACCTCACTTATTCCTGTTGAACAAATCCGTTACCTAGGACTCCATCTGGACAAACGTCTAACTTGGAATCCTCATACCAGACTGGAACGACAAGAAACAGCTCAACGTTGCCGACTACTTCAACACTTACTAGACAAACTCTCTAACCTTCCAATTAATTATAAAAGACTCATTTACATGACTATAATAAGGCCTATTTGGAGTTGAGCTATGGGGCTCCACCAAACCTTCAAATTCCTCTCGCATCCAATCCTTACAATCCAAAATCCTTCGTAAAATCCTGAATGCTCCTTACTCTGTAACAAATAAAATTATCCATAATGACCTTAATGTTCCTTATGTATCAGATTTGGCCCAATCCAGATATCTGTCCTTCCATAATAAACTTCATAACCATCCCAACCCTCTTGTTTCTAACCTTGCTTCCTATTCAATTCCTGATAACCCTCTGAGGAGTCTGAAAAGAAGATGGCCACGTGATCTTCTAATATAGACATATTATTAGAGTGCTACCAATGGGTAGTTTCTCAACATTGAAGCCGGTGGAGTCTGAGCGAGAGCGCTTAGCCACATACACTCATGTCTTGAGTGGAAAATCTGGCCATTGCCAGAACTTCAAAATAAATACTATAAAAGATCTCTGGGCCACTGCCGCTTCAACCTTCGAGGAGGGTTGTAGGGATGAGTGGAACTAGATAGGGATTGGGCTAGGGGATTTAGATGATTGATAAGGTTCTGATGGAATTTTGAAAAATTTTCAGGGATAAGGTCAAGGACAAATGGGATATTAAGGTCATGACGTAGGGTTTTGTTGGTTACATAGAACGGAGCATCGACTATTGTTCGGAGGACTTTGGATTGAAAGGATTGGATGCGTTTGATGTTAGAGAATTTTGCTGTCCCCCAAAGTTCAAGTCCATAGGTCCAAATGGGTATCAGGATTGTCTTGTAGATCAGTAATTTGTTGTCAATTGAAAGTTGAGATTTTCTGGTCAGTAGTCTGTATAATTGGCCGTATCGTCGGTTAAGTTCTTGTCTTTTAAGTCTAGTATGTGGGTTCCACATTAGTCTTCGGTCTAAGATAAAGCCAAGATACCGGACTGTGTCTGAAAAAGGAAGCTGGATGGAATTAAAGTGGACTGATGCACAGGATCTGCGGCGGAGTGTGAAGGTAACGTGTTTGCATTTGGATTCGTTTACTTTGATGCGCCATTTATTACACCAGTGCTTAATCATGGAGAGGTGCCTTTGAAGATTTAAAGATGCTATTTCGGGATCTAAGTTGGAAGATAGGATGGCGGTGTCATCAGCAAATGTTGCCAGGAAGGTATTGGGATGGACAGGGATATCGGCGGTAAAAAGGATATAAAGGACGGGGCCCAAGACGCTACCTTGAGGAACACCGGCTTCAACTGGGTAGGAGTTGGAAAATTCTGAACCACAGCGAACCCGAAAGGTACGATCAGAGAGGTAGGAGCGGAGGATTAGGTACAAGGGCTGGGGTAGATAGGTTTTCAGCTTGGAAAGAAGCCCGGCGTGCCATACCCGGTCAAAAGCATGAGCTATGTCCAGAAAAGCACCCGAGCAATATTGCTTGCTTTCCAGTGCTGCGGAAATATGATCGACCACTCGGAGTCCTTGTTGGACTGTGGAGTGTTGTGAACGAAATCCAAACTGATGGGAAGGAAGATTTCGGGATAAAAGGTAGGATTCGTTTCAGGAGGATCTTTTCAAAGATTTTGGAGAGGATTGAAAGTAGTAACTAGGGATTTGAAATCGGTGAGGAAAGATGCTAACAAACTGGTGAGATCTGTTGCATTTGAAGGAGGAGGAATTTGAGGTTGTTGATGATTATGTGTGTTAGGATGAACAGAATTTTGAGGTTGGGGCTGAGGTAGTTGCTGCGGCAGGGCTTCACATGTATTATTTGGGTTCTTACCTCCAAGTAGTTCGGAGTATGATAAATTATTATTAACAATTCTAGAAGGTTCTCTTCTTGGTCTGGTTGTCTCATCTTGAATCCGGTTCTTCTGGTATCTGGATTTGAGGCTCTTATAGGTTTGGCAGCCTTTGTAGTTGGCCGGGTGTCCCTCCTAGCATAGTGCAAACACTGCAGGATCTTGTATCGGTTTAGTGCACTCCACAGATTTGTGCTGTTCACCGCATTTCACGCAACGCGGCAGATGGTGACAATAAGTTTTCGTGTGGCCATAAGCCTGGTAATTGTGGCACTGCACAATTTCCTTCTTGGGGTATGGCTTCTCTATCTTCACGATAGTGTAGTACAATCTCTTTATATCACATATTTTCTCAATACCAGGTGATGGCTCTAGATCCACGAAAAATAAAGGTAGTGGAACTTTATTACTTACTCCTGGCTGCTCCTTATTCTCCTTCAGAACGTTGGTTACCTGACGCACTTTAAAACCAAGCGTTGCTAGTTCTTCTATTATCACTTCAGTTGGGGTTGAGGAGTGTAAATTTCTTACCACCACTCGTAGCGATCTCTCCTGTTTCAGCTGGTACGTGTGGAAATTTGCATTCGTTTCTGACAGGTACTTCACAATTTTTCGGTAGGTTTCTGCAGTATCTGGTGTTATTTTTGTATCGTTGGTCCTGTTGAGGCAAGAATAACTGCCGAAGCAGATTTCGTTTAGTTGTGTACACAGTAGTTGGAAATTTTTTATATTTTTTACAAATATCGGAGGAGGCCTTGGTTCCCTGGGTATTGCTGCTGACTCCATTACTTCTCTGTCATTATGAAGCACTTGGAACGGGTTTGGAGTGAAGAAAGGAGATTCTTCAACCATTTCTTGCGAAGAGGTACCTGGTTGAGGCTGAGGTTCAGGACCTGAAGTTTTCACTGTGGTTATTGGAGCTATTTCTCGCAGGCAGCGAAGAGTTCTTTGTTTCGCTGGTGAATCACAAGGGGTACTAACACCGTCTGACCGAGTCGTCTTAGTGAGCACTTTACTGGACATCACTTGCTGACAATGCCGCATATCATAAGATAAAAAAAACATTAAAATTTAAAAAAAAAATTTAAAATTTAAAAAAAAAATTAGCAAACAGTAAATAACAACTGCTGTGGTGTACACTTCAACTGTATTCAGTAAATAATCAAAGAGATTCCGCTAAAAAGTAGGCAAAAACTGAGAGAAGATTTCAGAATACGACCTTCGCATCAGCTGATCCACTGCCTTCGTAAAAAAATTAAATTTCAGATCATACCTTATGAAACTTATATAGAAGAAACTCAGTTTTTTAATAAAAAGTACAAGGGTTGTATAGACTCATTTTAATGAAAACCATAGTAGTAATTTATTTAGGGACACAATTTTTGAGATACCTGGAAGTGAATATAATGTCAACAGCTCTATTCTAGATAATTACCAACGCGTTATGGCCGCACAATCAAAAAAGCCCCAGCTGCTTGATTTATAATTGTATTTTAATTATTTTTTATTAATTTATTTATTAATTATTAAAAAAAAATACTATATTAATAGAGCTTAATGAGGGGGATGTTAAGGGTGGATACACTGAGTTGTAACCTTACTGGTATATGTGACCTCATTCAACTAATGAATATGTATAAGTAACATGTGATGTGCGCAATAAAAGTTAACCGAATTTCATGTAGTTTTTTATATTATAATTAAGTTCTATGACAATTTTAATTTGTAAAAAGGCAAATACTGTTGATATAAATATATATTTGAATATTGTTTTTAGGTCACAAGGTGAGGTATATAGACTACAAAATAAACTTGATACATCAGAAACAGAAAAAGATCGTTTAGAGCTTGAAGTAGAAAAAATTCAAATTATAGCTACTAAATCTAGAGAGGAGCTGAGAAAAGTACAAGATGAATTACAGCGGATACAGGAACTCTATGATCGTGCAATGCTACAACTTAGTAGAACGAAAGAAAATGAAGACAAGTTTAAAGAAGAAATGGACCGTATGTCAGTAGACCTTGAAATGATGAGAGAAAGATATGACAAAACACAAATTGAAATGAGAAGAATACAGTCAGAAAGAGATAAATTGCAAGGTGATACTGATCGCACATTATTTGAATTGGAGAGAACACATTCTCAATTAACAAAAACTCAAAGTAGTTATGAAAAAAGTCAAGAAGAAGTAACTCGACTTACATTAGAACTAGAGAAAATGTACGATAAACAAGATAAAGTTCAAACTGAATTACGTAAAGCTCAACTTGAAGCGGAAAGGCATCATAGTGAAGCAGCAGCTCTAAAGGAAGAAGTTGAAAGGTATGCAACTAGAGCTGGAAAATATCAAGATACTCAAGAAAGAAGTAAAGAAGAACTTGAAAGACTCAGAGATACAACAGAACATTTAAGAGGAAAGTACCAATTTGAACAAGAAAAAACTGAAAAATTAGCTCAAGCCAATGAAAGGTTAGAAAGTCGTATTCATGAATTGCAATTAGAACTTGATTTAAGTAGGACTGAAGTAATGAAAATGACTGAAATGCAAAGTAAGCATCAATCAGAAATTGAAAGACTCCATATAGAATGTGAGAAGGTCCGGGATCGACAAGAAAAACTTCAAATTGATAATGATCGGCTTAGATCTGAATTAGCAACCAGAGGTTCTAGTGATATAGAAGCTAGTATGCTGAGAGATCGATTGGAGAAGATGCAGATAGCTCGTGACAAATCAGAAGCAGAAACCAATAAACTTCTCAGGGAACTTGAAAGAGCACAGAGTGAAATTGAACGACTAAGAGCTGAGGCAGGTGGACGCTCTTTTGCAGGCGAAGCTGAGCTAGAGAGAACTAGAGAAAGACTTGAAAAAATGGCTCAATCAAAGGAAAATGCTGAAATGGAAATTAAACGTTTGACTAGAGAATTGGAAAAATCTCAAATGCATTTAGCAAAGTACCAAGAAAACAACGAAGCTACTCAAATTGAATTTGAGCGTATGTCTGCAGAATGTTCCAGGATGCATGAAAAACTGGAACTAGCTAAAGCTGAAATGCTTAAGATGGCAGATGAAAAAGTTCATTTAGAAACTGAACTTCAACAGACTAAACGAGCTCTTGAAAAACAGCATTCAACGTTGCAGGATTCTGACTATAGGATAAAAGAAGAATTTTCAAAATTCCAGCAAGAACGAGATCTTATAGTAAGAGAAAAAGAAAAAATGTCTGTGGCTTTAGAAAAGAGAGAAAAACATTCTGATATGCTTGAAAAACAGATGGAAAAATTAGAGATAGAAGTAAAAAAACTGTCTACGGAACGTGATCAGCTAGTTATTCAGCTGGAAAAGTCACAAGATATGCTTTTGACATTCCAAAAAGAGCTTCAACAGTCAGAAACAAGATTAGAAAAAGAGCGAGATGAGAACGCAAGACTGAAATCTGAGCAAAGGAGGCAAGTTGCAAAAGATACAGGTTCTCGGGAGAATATTGATAGAGATTTAAACAGAATGCAGCAAATGCTTCAGACAAAAGATCAAGATATATCAAATATCCAGCAGTCATTAAATGCCAAAGAAAAAGAAATTATTAAGCTTCATCAACAGCTTCAGCAACAATCACAGCAATACATGAAGGAGAAATCAGCATATGAAGCTGAATTCAACCAGTGGCAGAAGCTAATTGAAACCGAAAAAAAAAGGGCAGATGATCTTCATAAACAATTACAATCCATGCAAATGCATCAAAATTCAGCCAAAGATGATTCCACCAGGAAACTAGAAATGTTAGAGAAACAGCTACAGTCTACTCAAACTGAATATAAGGAAAACCGAGAAAATTTGCAAAAAAGGATACAAGCTTTAGAAAAAGAACTTCAGTCTGGAGGATCAGCTGCAAAAGATGTTCAAAGGTTACTATCTGAACTTGATCGTTGCCAAGGAGAATTAAAAAGTGGTACTATAGAACGTGAAAGACTTCAGGCCCAACTTGAAATGTTAGTTCAAGAACTCGAAAAGAACCAGGTCTGTATTGCTCTTATCCATCACATATATTTTTACCATGAAATCCAAATTGTATTATATTAACTTACACATTTTCCTCTGAAGGATTCAAAATAGAAGTTCAATGATTTTGAATAAAAGAGTAAAACTCATGTTGGTTACAATTATAGGAAAACTTTTTTTTTTCCTATTTTTTCCGAGATACTGCTTAAATTGTCCCTGATAAATGAATTAAATTTGGATCCGAAACGCAATGTAATATTCTAAGTGTAATTTAATAGTTAAATAAAACTTAAAATTAGGTAATGAAGAGAAGAATAGTTGGGGTTGTCAGTCAAAAAAGAAGGCAACAAATAAATGATAATATTTATTTTTACATATGCCGACGTTTCCACACTTTGTAACGGTTATTATTATTTATCTCTTAGTTCTTAGTCATTATTCTAACAATTTCATTTTACTTTATATTTATTTATTTTCTTTTATTATTATTTTTTTTTCTTTTACCATCACTGCTTATGTTTCTCATACCTTGTTATCTGGTTATTTTCTTAGCCCTGATGAAGGCCTGAACTTCAGTTCGAAACGTCGGCATATGTAAAAATAAATATTATCATTTATTTTTTGCCTTCCTTTTTGACTGACCACCCCAACTATTCTTCTCTGCATTATCCACGACAGTCAACCATTTACCAATTATTAAACTTAGGTAACTTAATAGTTATCTAAAACTTAAACTTATATAAGTTAATAGTTTATAACTTAAGTAAATTAATAGTTATATTAAACTTAAACTTAGATAACTTAATAGATATACAGGGTGTTTCAGGCTCAAGTGGCCAAACAGCATAAATGAACTAAGGACATCAAAACAAGAAAATAATTTCCTCTGAAGGTATGTCCGCAAACGCTTTGTTTAGGAGACATTTACACCTAAAGATTTTGGCTAGCCTAAAGAGGTTGGCTGTGGTACCGAATTCTCCGGCTTACTCAATTGAGGCTGATCTTGGGCATCAAGGGGGCCTCAGAGGGGCAAAGGTGGCATCTTGGGTCCCACCCCTTACATTCTCATTACTGCTGATATCCCTATCCATCCCGATACCCTTCTGCCAACTTTCACTGATGACACTGTTATCCTATCTTCCAACTAACTATTTGTTTATTGATAAATATTACAATCTGTCTCAATAAAGGACATTTATAATAGAGTTCTGAGAGCACATTCACACAATATCTTCCAACTAAGACCATGAAACAGCGCCCGCAAACCTACAAAGACACCTCTCCCTAATTGAAAACTGGTTTAAGAAATGGCACATCAAGGTAAACGAATCTAAATGTAAACGCATTACCTTCACCCTTCGCCGTAATTCCTGTCCACCAGTTTATTTTAACTAGATTCAGCTTCCTTTCTCAGACACAGTCCGGTATCTTGGCTTACTCTTAGACAGACGACTAACGTGGAATCCACAAACTAGACTTAAAATACAGGAACTTAACTAAAAAAAAAATCTAAACTTTCTAGAAAATCTAAACCCATCTGGACCAATAGACTAGAACTGTGGGGAACAGCTAAATTTTCTAACATCAAATGCACTCAATCCTTCCAGTCCAAAGTCTTCCGTACAATAGTCGATGCTCCCTTCTATGTCACCAATAAAACCCTGCATAATGACTTTAATATTCCATTTATTCTTGAACTTATTCCAGACAAATTTTCCAAATTTCACTAGAACCTTACTCGTCATCCAAATCCCATTGTACGATTCCTATTAAGCACCACCCATCCCTACAATCTCCTCGTAGGTTAAAGCGGTAGTGACCCCGAGACCTTTTGTAAATATGGATATTTTTGAGTTCTAGCAATGGCCAAGCCATTAGTGTCGGCGGCAGCAGCGCTCATAATCTATGAGCAATTCATAAAAATCTTCAATACTAATTAGCTACATCAACTTAATCATGTAAAACAATATAAATTTTGCTTATATACTAAGGCTTGTATTTGAAACTATTTTTGACCTACCTCACTATAACCAATGTCTAACAGACAGATTGTTATAATACTCAATAAAGAAATTAAAAACAAAAAAAAATCTTTGATATGTGTTTAATAAATGAGTTTGAGATATACACTGACAGGCAAAAAATTCCACCCACTTGATTTTTTCATGTTTTCATCTAAAAATATTTCTGCTTTGGATTGGTCTATTGGTTTTAATGAATAAATAGGTAATCTTTTTGTTTCTTTTCAATTAGGAATGTTAATATAGAGGAAAATAACCCTTAATCCTTAATTCAATGAAATGATTCTAGAATCCAATGTTTACTTTCTATGGAATCAAAATGTTTATTCAGTATCATTAGTTCAGTGCCGTTTCTTGCAGCACATTTCTTAGTCTCCGGCTTTTAATTTTTTCAATATTAAGTTTAACAATGCCTCTTAGTGCTGAGGATGTTGCGCGTGGTGTGGAACTTATTGATGATGGACGTTCCATTATATATGCAGCTAATGCCATCGGAGTTCCATATGAAACTTTACGAGACGCCGTCAGGCGTTTTCGGGAAACTGGTTCTTACAATAGAAGGCCCGGTTCTGGACGGCCTAGGGTAACAGAACCACGGGATCACCGGTATTGACATTGAGAATTTTACGAAACCGGCACCTTACCGTTGTTCAAGCGATTCATCAGCTGTAAGAAGTTCGAGGTGTGCAAATTTCTGAACGTACTCGGAGATTAAATGAGTATGGATTAATGGCTTTTCGTCCAGTAAGAGGACCAGAGTCGACCTGAACTCACAGTGTAACACGGCTGGATTTTGCTCGAGAACACAGCCATTGGACTATGGACGCTCTTCGATCTCCAGACGGGCGTGAAAGGGTGTGGAGAAGAAGAAACGAAAGATATGCAGCCTGTAATTTTTCCCAGAGTCAACCTTTCCAACGTGGTTCCTTAATGGGTAACAAGTGGGTGGAATTTTTTGCTTGTCAGTGTATATGGAGGCTGGGGTAGCCTTGCGGGCTAAGACTCTTGTAATAGGTAATCATAGTTAAGCAACGCCAAGCCTGGTGATAAGTCTGATGAGTGACCGTCCACCAAGGAAAGCCACGCTGCCCGAGATTCCTATCCCACCCCCGGGTATGGGAGGCCCGCCAACCTACTGGAGGCAACTCACACCGACTGGGCGTAGGATTAATGATCTTAACCCGTACTTTAAATCAGGAATCGGGATGTGGTCTAGGAGACCACACTCATGGTCAAAGATCGTCATGGTCTGTAGCGCTAACCGAAAAAAAAAAAATATATATATTATTTTTCTGTTTAGTTTATTTTGATTTATTGTACATAGAGTGTGAATGTGATCTCAACTTCTTGTTCTTTTCAATTTTATTATCTCAACTTTTCTAGAAATATATAACTTCATTAATTTCCACTGATAATTAATATTATCTAATATTTCCAAAGGTGCTCAATTTATTTTTCAAAATTACTCAATTATTCGGTTAATCTGCTCATGTTATTTATTAAATTCATCATATAAATTTCTCTAAGTAGACAGGTGCTCAATTTATTTTTCAAAATTACTCAATTATTCGGTTAATCTGCTCATGTTATTTATTAAATTCATCATATAAATTTCTCTAAGTAGACAGTTCAGTTTTATTTTCAAATTTTATTTGGTTTTAGCTAGAGCTGCATGAAGCAAATAAAAAATTATCAGTTGGTGGTAACAGGATGGGTGATGAAAGTGCCATGAAGAAACAACTTGATGATTTCAGAAAACAGTTAGAAGAACAAAGTCAAAAACTTGATGGCCAAAAACGAAAGTTAGAAGAGCATCGTAAAAATATTGAAACTAGAGCTAAAGAACTGGATGATAAAGAGAAAATGTTAATAGATTTTGAAATGAAGCTGAAAAAAAGAAAAGAGCAAACAGAATCACACACCCAAAAGGTAACATTTATCTATTAAAGAATTATTCGGTTAAATATAGTAGTTATTTTTTGCCTACATTTATTTTTCGTTTTGGATCTCCCGTCTTGACTAACTGTTTCTTAAATTATTATTATACTATAAGCTGTTACCGTCATTTTATTACTGTTTACTTCATCACTTTATTACTTTTATTATAACTTCCTAAGTTTGTTCCATTAGTTCATAAGATCCTAACTTTGTTACCGTCAGTTTATATATCCTAACTTTGCTACTGTTATTTTGTAGGTGCCAGCTTTGTTACTGTTACTTTATAACTTCCACATTTTATATATCGTATATTTTCCATTCCACATATTTATTAATTTTAAGTTTGACTACCTACATATTATTATTACTGTCCACTGTTTTCTCAATATTTATTTCTTATCTTATCTTTGCTTAGCCCTAATGAAGGCCTGAAATGTTGGCATGAAGGAAACAAATATATTTAAATTTTACTTTGACTGCAATCCTCAACAATTCTCTCTTCAAAAATAGTTTTAATGTTGCTTCGACACCAATGGTTCTACTGTTTTCTAAAACTAACGTTTTTTCGGTTTTATTTTTGTGGAAAAATGCACCGTGCCAAGTCAGGTATATTGTGTGCCATAATTTTTCCACTGTTCAAAACATTAATTTGGCAATCTTAGCAAACTGTAAAAGACTTGTTGGATTGACAAGCTCACAGTGCTTCGGGTCGAGCAAACAATCCACTCGAAATAACTGCCGTGGTAGACAGTTTCATACTTATGATGATAGATTCAACACTAAGCTACCAGTGAAAGCTCTATTTGCCTAATTTGAGAACTTTGCGCTCCCAGGCTTTGTCTGCCAGGTGACGAGAGATCCTTACATCCTTAGCTGGTAACCTTGAATGAGGTGCATTTGCATGTGAAAGATAGATTTGTGTCGGAGCTTTCACCTTAGGCCGGTCAGAACACCAGCCCCTATGTTCTTGGCTGCCTGTCCTTATCCTTTGACATCGCCAAAATATAGTTATTCCTTTAATATTTGAGCGTCAAGATTCTCAGAAAAGATATATTTTTTACCAGTAGAGAACATAGAACCATAAAGAAATGGACCCATTATAAGAAAACCTTTGAGTCATCAGTCCATCACCAGATAGCAATCACAAATACCGAAAAATTTCATTATCTGCTTGGAGCATTAAAGGATGAAACCGCATCTTTGGTCTTGAATATTCCTATAGAAGAGAGGTCATATTTCCTAGCTTGGAATAAATTGCTGCAAAACTACCATAATCCTAGGGTATTAGCGACATATTTTCTACAGCAAATATTGGACTTCGAGGCCAAGAGCACAAGAAACTAGCTGCAGAACTACGAACATTTCCTAGTAGGCTACACCTACTCAACATACAAGGTTACAAGGTTCTTAACTTGGAAAATTCATCCGAGGTTTTGTTGGCATTTTTGGATTTAAGGGCACTCGATCGGCAGACTCGAAGGCAATTCGAAATCTCAAAGACTTCAATAAGCACGTTTCCTGTAGTTGACGACGTAATCACTTTCGTCGGACAAAGGAAGATTGCTCTTACAATCTCAAGAGACATTGCTTCTTCTTCAAGCACAACTCAAGACGACCGGGTTGAACTTCAGCACCAGCACTCACAGTTTCCAAAAAGAGGATCACCGAAGTATAGAGCTTCAAGCTTCCTACATACGAAAATTCCACATAACCGGAGTTACAGCACGTCTCCTAAACGCATAAAATCACTGTTTTCAACTCCTCGGACAGCCAGATACCAAAGTCCACCACGCTGTTGTCCATTTTGCAAAGAACAACATGATCTGCCATACTATTTTAATTTTTGCAACATCTCCGTAGAAGATCGCAAAGCATTCGTTAGAAGTCTGTGTTGTAATAATTGTCGACGCCAAAATCACGAAAAGACTAAGTGCAAGTCAAAGTTCACATGTCGCTTCTGCAAGACTCGGCATCACAGTCTCCTGCACGAGATTCGATCAAACGCACAGAACACTCCTACCTCTAGACATTTTGCAGGATTCGGCTCAGCTTCCCAACACCATAACGCTGAATCCTGTTATGTACTAGGAACGGCTCAACTCAAAATTTTGGGTCCTGAGCATATTTTGCACACAATACGTGTAGTAGTAGATTCCGGAAGCCAGCATTCCTTCATCTCACAAGCCATTGTAAGCAAGCTTGGATTCAAGACCAATCCGTTAAACATTAGCATCTATGGTCTTGGTGGTAATTCATTCGTGACGCCAACGGATCAACTGAATGCACTCTGCATTCACGTCTCAGCAACGAGGAATTCACCACAAAAGCCAACGTTGTAAACATAACCTCTCCACCACTTCCCAGCACTCCGTTGAAACCATATGTCATCCATCTATTATCTGGATACCCGCTTGCAGATGAATGCTTCCATACACCCGGCACGATAGATATTTTGATTGGTATGAATTTGTGTCCACTTATTATCGACGGTGCACCATTCAGGAGCGGTGTGGAAGACCTTTTTCTTCAGCCAACTGTGTTGGGTTTGGTAGTCATGGGGAAGACATCATGCCTTTGAACTCCCGCTTCATCTTCATTCTTCACTGGATTCTAGCAAAGGATGGAAATGCAGAAACCAAATTACATTCATAATCCGGACAAGATGAAGGTCGGAGGCGAAAACGAAGGAGGAAAATTACCAGTTGAAAAATCAACAGTAGTCTCTACTCCAAACCCAACACTTGTCGCAGCAAATACCATCGCAGCACTCTGCGCTGGACCAACATCCACATCATTTGGCTCAGCAACAGCATCCAAAGCACTCAGCGAAGCAGCATTCACAAAGCATTCGAACTGGACCCGGCACTCGACGCCCGTGTGGCTACGACCGTCACACTTGGTCCATCAGCATCCAAAACAGGGATCGGTCAGGTACTACCAAAAAAGGAAACCGGTCCTGATAAAACCAGCAAAGCAGTTTCTGCAGTCGTGGTCAAAGACCAACAAATCCGCAACAGAGAAAAATCCTCCAATGATCGAAGCAGTCTACCTTCAATGAATCTTTCAAAACTCTGAAGTACTTTGAACTTCAGCAAAGGGAGCATTGCCATCGCAAAGCTCTCCGATTGTAGCTTCAACGCATAGATCTACTGCTAAAAGCCATGGATCACCAACTCTTAGCGTGGCCATAAAGTCATTTGGAACACAACGAGCAAACTTCTCAAGATTCCTTGTGTCAGATTAGGTTCGTGTGGCTTTAGTGCCCTCTCTCAGTCTCCACTGGATTCCCATCCTAGTGATGCGGCTGAGAGAGAAGCGCTGGGATCTCTTGGAGTCTTGCCTTGTCCTCCACACGTGGGGGAAAAGGCCCGACTCGGAGCTCCCTCAGCTGACTGTTAATATTGTAAATAAGTTTGAATGTGTTTTTATTTATTTATTTTTTTTTATTTTAGTTTTTATCTAATGTTGTATCATGTTTGATTTATTCTGTTACTCCAAGTTTTATTTTATTTTATTTTCTTATAATCTTGTTGTGCTTTTATTGTATATATGGTATGATTGTACTTCATTCATCATAAATACACAATGCCCTTAATTGAGGCAAAATGTATTTTTTTTCTCAATAAAAATTGTTCAATCTAAAAAGATTAGGTTCGTTCCATTCTTTCATGCAATGTATTATTTCCCCTCAATCGTGATGGTGTACATACATTAGGATTGTATATATACATAAGTTAAAACACGTACGGACTCAAAAAATAAAAAAAAAGGAATACTAGGGCACGAAGTGAATTCCACCGTGGTTTGGATAATACTGACTTTATTTACTTTTTACATCGGGTTTTATAGTATTACATTGTTTATTTACATACGCTACTTATCACCCCCGCCCCAGTTCACAAAGTGAACTCTACGTTCTTCAATTAACTAAACTAAAATTATCAAGTATTCAATAGATACAACATAAATAATTCCTTAATTTAAACATAAGTACATAAATAACACAATTTACTTAACTAGCGAAATTACAGAAATAAACAAATCTTCTTACATCTCTTATTGTATAAACTATATAACGTATACATCAAATACCGTTTAATACAAATATGTAATCACAATTTTAATAAGAAAGCAACAGTAATTATAATAACAAATTGACCTTTTACAATTATGATCTTTCTTGATCGAGAGGAATGCGAAGGTGCCGTATGTGAGTATGTCGAACTCTCTGAGCACCTGTTAACTCCTGAATAGAAACTATATTATGCTCACGCAATGCTATCACTCTGAAGGGTCCTTCATATCTCTGATCTCCCTTTTTCCGACCCGACGGAGGTTGGCAGTATACGGTCATTCCCAGCGAAATTTTGTGTCATTCATCTGGCGTCGCTAGGCATGTACGATTCGCCCTGGAAAGTTTTTCGTTAAGAAGTTTGGATTGAACTCTCTGAGATATGTCCCGTAACTGTTTACGTTTATGGATCACGGCGTTCCATAGGTGCGTGTATGCGGTCGTGAGCAAATCCCTTCTATTCCGTAAAGGATGTCCAAACACTACTTCTACCGGCGTAAACCCCGTAGCCGAATGGATCGTGTTATTACGCTAATACGGCTCGCGGCATTGCCCCATTAGCCTCAAGCCCTCTGTGTAGTTGGAACAGGCGGAGATGTTCCCCTAATGTATTGTGGAGGCGTTCAATGGCTCCGCGCCCTTGGGATTACCAGATGAGTTATAATACCATTTCATGTTCAACTCTGCGCATTCAGTCGTTGTACGAGCGCTCTTAAATTCCCTCCCGTTATCTGATGTTATAGTGCGCGGCACTCCGTAACACGCCATCCATCCCAGCATTCCGTCCCAGACAGCATTCCGTCCCAGACAGCATTCCGTCCGTGGTTTTGTTCTGCAGAGGATGCGCCATTGCTAGTTTACTGAAGTTGTCCAGTATCGTCAGCCAATAAGACCCCTCCCAAGTAAATATGTCAAACTG